TCCAGAATAGACAAAACATTGTTTTTTGTAGTATTATGCTAAAACAAACACTCATAAATCAACACAGCTAAAATTAAGGCAAGCAAAATGATCTGTTTACTAGCGATCAGTTGTGAGAGGGTAGTCGCGCTGGTGCCGCGCACTGCCCGCCTCTCATGTGACTCACCAAGCACTTTCACTTTCCTCTCAACTTATTTTTTAATTACTTTATGCTGTCAAAAATAGATTTTCACTCAACTTTACCTAGGCAATTCATCCTCTGCAGATGCAGAGCTCAACTCGACCAGCTCATTATCCACTTCACTGTCCAAATTGGCGCCCCACACTTGAAGCACCATTTCCTCGCTGCAGTGCTTCCAGCACCTTGATTTTCGGCTCCAGTGTAATTGCTTGCCTTGATGTCATGGTCTTTGGAGTATTTAATGATGTATTGGCTGGCCTCTTGAACATAGTGGTAATGGTTGATGCACGTGGTAGAAGGCAATAGTCACACAATATGTCCATTTATTAGAGTGTCAGCACGAGAACTGAGGATGCGTGAAGGTGTGGGAGGGTAGCGGGTAGCCGTGTAGCATGCCCAGAGACGCGTCTGGCGGGCAGCTGTGTAGCGTGTCCAGAGACGCGTCTGGCGGGAAACATTAGGCGTGAAATTTAAAATAGCATGAATTTCCATATGATGTGCCAGATTGACTCGCATAAAATAGGAAAGATTTGCTTTAAATTAATACATTGTCCTTAATTGTGGGTGTCGCTTTAAATCAATAATTTTAAATTAATCGCTTTAATTCGACGTTCTACTGTACTGTACCATATAAAACTACGTTTGAGTGTGTACTGCGTAGCCAGGGAGTGGAGGCGGCAGGCGGTAGAGTAGGATAGAGGCGGAGGAGGAGGGAGGAGTGGGAAACTCACCTCCCATGCTCACCATCCTGTGATCCGTTTCATAACGAAAGTACCGTATGCAATTTCACCATAATTCTCATATTATTTAGGTTCATTCAGTGTCAGGTTAATAAAACATTATCAAAAAGTAATTAATTTTACCCCAAAATCACAAAATCAATCCCAGATGGGTTATTGCACTGCAGTATATTTCAGGTTTCTTGTTTAAAGTGGTACACAGCTGATCGTTCCTGCTCTCCTTAACGATGTTGCCAGCACTCACTATCTGTCAAGCACCGTTGTTGTCACTGTTGTGTAAGTCAACTTAATAATAAATTAAAAAATAGATCCAGAGTTTCAAGCAGGGTTTAAGTGCTTTATTGTGGAAAGGCGGGGATGGAAGTAGTTTTGGTCGTACCAATCGACTCTTTAACGAGATTTTCACTTTTGTAGTAGTTTTCCTGATATGAGATAGGTGCGAAGGTAGTGAACCTACTGTACTGTAAAACAATAAAAGATCACAAAAAGTGACAGTCTAACTTCTACCATTCATATATCTTTAAGTTGTAATACTTTCTGAACCCTGCAATTCTCCATCAATGTAATCTGTTCAGAATCATAAACTTTCAAAACAACAAAGGTCTTAAGTTGCTTCTTAAAGGCCTCCACAGAAGTCAGCTGCTTCACGGATGCAGGCACCTGATTGTGCAATCTGGGTGCTGTATAGAAAAAGGATCGAGCAACAAAAGAACATTCCCATACTGTTCTAGGCTCCTCAAGGCGTGAAGGATCATCACTACTACGCAAAATGATTTCAGAATGTACAGTATACAGGTAGTCAGTGGAATTAGTAGGTTGGCCAAATACGTAGGCTCAACAAACATTAGTGTCTTTAAAGTCATTAGACAAAATTTGGCTTTCATTGGAAGCCAGTGCAATTCGATCAGGAATATGGTAGCGAGAGTCCTCGGTGGGAGAGGAAAAATAAGCCTGTCAACCCTGTTCAATACTGTTTGAACTTTCTTCAGTAAATAATTAGGTAGGCAGACAAATAAAAAGTTACAAAGTCAAGCTGAGACAAAACAAGAGAATGTAATAGTGTCACAAGACACTGTCCATCCAAAAACTGTTTAATAACATAGAGATTTCGAATATGAAAGGTGAAAGTCTTAACTACTGTACTGAATTTATATATAGTGTACTCATTAAAATTCAGTTTTAAGTCAGTATACTCCAAAATTATGAACAGAATCGACTAGACTGAGTTGCACTTCCCCTCCCATTTCCTTGAATGATAATAATCATGGTCTTGCTGTCATTCAGCTTAAGTTTTCTTTTAGCCATTCAAATCTTAATATAAGAAGACATCAAGGATTTCATTATCTCCTCAATATTCTCAACATTTATTATTTTTACATAAAGCTGTGCATCATCAGCATAGAAATGGTAGACAACACCATGAGCATCCAGCAGAGATGTAAAACTACTGGTACAGACTAAACAGAAGTGGTCCCAAAACTGATCCCTGTGGGACTCCAAACTGCAAAGGGACCGGATCTGAAATGGTTCCATCAGCCATCACACAGTAAGATTGCTCTGACAAATAAAACACAAGCAGTGAGAGTGATTCTCATGGACAAGAAACAACCAAAGATCCTGAAGCAACAGATGATGATCCACCGCAAAAGCTGCATAGATATCCAGTAAGACCAGAAGGGAGTAGTTTCTTGTGCCTAGTGTTTGCTACCAAATCGCTATGAATTTTACATAAGGCAGTTTCAGTCGAATGATGCTTGCTACAGGCTGACTGGACTTGAGGAATCACTCCATTTCTCTCTAACAGAGGAAGTAACTGAAAGATTGGACACCAGATGATAATTTGACATAACGGTATTTTTAGTATCAAGACCAGATTTCTTAAAATGCAGATGCAATGAAGACTGTTTCTCAGATTGCACAAAATTGCCCAATGTAAAACATTTATTTGTGATTCTACAAATAAAGTCTGCAGCATTTTTATAAGTGAGTGGTATCAAAGATACATTTAGAGTATTAAGATGACAAAAACTCTCCTTCAAATCCTTGATATAGCAAAGAATTTTGTTCATCCCTAAAGAGCAAAACGATGAAAGAGTGAGGTTTATGGCCTAACTCGGTTGAAATTCAACTGAAAATGCCTCAAATAAATAAACACTATCAAGGACATTTCTCATATGTGATACCTTTGTCATAAAAACAAGAAAAATCTGAGGCAAGCTGAGCATCTGAAGTGTAAGAAGGCAGTGTTCCAGACATCTAGCCCATTCACCATTGCATAAAATTTTTTTATCACTGTCACAAGAGGCTACTTGACTTCTGTAGTATTCAACTTTGCATGCCCAAAAGTAGTCAAAGCATGGTCAGAGACTGCTGGATCGATCAGGTCAACTGTAACATCTAATACACGATCACAGTCAGCAGGAGACTAAACTAGGTCTAGTGTGTCCAGAAGGATGTGTTGGACATCGTACAACGCGTTTGACAAATATGTTTAGATTGAGAATTTCCAAGAACTCAGAGGAAAAAGGTTTCAGAGATGGGTTGTCAACTCAATAATTAAAGTCGCCACAGATCATCCGATCAACCGTCACCCATTCTTTCCTGAGAAAATCTCAAGATATAAGCCATATTGATCCATGAGTTCCCTATCTGTACCTTGGTGACCAGGATGATACACAACACCAATTCTAATAACATGGCGATGATGATTTATTAATGCCTCCATAAACTAAAAGGAGGAAAAAGCAGTCACTACTAATCAGTCTAATGTTGAGCCAGGCCACAGAAAAGATGAGCACCACTCCACCACCCAGAGCTCCTGCAGCAGGCCTGGGAACATGAACAAGAAATTATGTCTCGGAAGAGCACTACAAATACTGTTGATGTCTGATTCATACAACCATGTTTCAGGTACACAGAGGATGTTCAAGCTGAACTCCCTCAGAAACTCATTAACATGACACATTTTGTTTCTGATTGCCCGGATATTAAGCAGACCGTATGTACTTTTAAGAGGTTCGGGGGCACTACAAATTTTTTGAGCAAGTGAAGTCAGTGTTTTTAATTACTTTTCTGCAATGTGAAATCATATGGCAATCTTTACTTGATTTGATGCAAAATTACTAATTGACTTAGGTGGTACTGCAAGAGTGCAACAATTTACAGAGCAGGGTCTTATTTGAGCAAGTTCTAGACTCATGACTGCCTGCACAGAAGAAACAAACTGGAGAAATAGCTTCCTGGGACAGCCTGAAGCAAGGTGTCCAAATTTTTGTCAGTGGCTGTCTCTGTTGATGTTTTCTCCAAGTGATTCCTTTATAAAGTATGTCAGCCAAACTTACCTCATATTTCTGCTAATACAGTACAGTATCAGCAACACATCAACACTAAACACTTTCACAAAAATTTATAAACTGAATTTACTGAAAACTCCTTCCAACACATCAATTTTACACTGTAGTCAACACTGTAGGACAAACACTACAGCGAGTTGTATCACATCCAGTAGGTGTAATAATCCTTGAACTTGAACAACTGTACTAATTTAAGTTTTCTTAAGGTTTCTTGGAGTGTCAAATAGACCCCAAAAATGGGTAATAAAATTCTCAAATAAAGTATACAATATAAACAGATAAATTCTTTCATAATTTTCTACAATCAACAGAAATGAAGAGGAAAAAAAAGCCCAACAGTGTGGACACAACACACTGTACTGTACATTAAACCTTCAGTACAAAAGGAGGCAGCACTGCACTTAACCATTTTC